CAGAGAGAGAAAGTGCATGCGCTAAATATCACCAAGAAAGATTGAATTCAATATTACTTCTTTACTAAGGACAATCCAGGTCAGTCACAGTGTGTATGCACTATATGAGAGCCATATGATTTAACACTAGAAAAATGTGAGCCTTACTTTCAGTCTCCAGAGGGGGTAGCTGGAATCAGGGCCTCTATTGAAGAAGCGGCTGGTTTTGGTTCCTGCACTCAGAAGGTACTCAGCCGGCAGCCCTTGGGTCTGGGAGATGTAACGGATCTGTGGCACAACAGTTACGACAAGCACCTCTGGTTAATGTCTAGGATCAGCCGGTACCAATCCTTTCGAAACACAGATCCAGAGAACACTAATGTTCTTCAATGTCATTTTAAAGGTAAGTGACATTTCCACCGAGCACATTCGTTTCAAGAAGGAAAAGGAACAGCACTTAAAAAATGATGTTTGTAGGAATCTGGTAGCTACTGCTTTCACATTATTAATCACTGACCTGGTCATATTCGGAAGCTCCAGGGTACAACGGCCATCCGAGGAAGAGCTCAGCTATAACGCACCCCAGGGACCACATGTCGATGGCTTCACAGAAAGGAAGGCCCAGGATGATCTCAGGGGCTCTGGGTTACGCACCACACAACAGAACCGTTAGCCGACACACAAGAAGCCATACCTTCAATATAACTGCACCACATAATCCAGCCGCCCTGTTAAAGACTTCCTTTCCTATGCGAGAAATTTATCATTGGGAAACTATCAGGGATTCAGACCCGTGAGCTTCTGCTCACAGCCCCAAGTATCTGAACTGAACTAAAGAAATGCTGCCAAGTTAAGCAGGCAGCAAAAGAATGTAGGGAACCGCACCACTGTCATGCACACTTGCCCTGGCATTCTCAAAGACTATCCCCGGTACACAAGGCTCACCGGTAATAGCGTGACTGAAGGTAGGTGGAGCAAACTGCCTTGGAGACGTAACTGGCAGAGCCAAAGTCGATGACCTTAACACGGAAGGGCTGGCGGACGGGGTCCACTAGCATGATGTTCTCGGGCTTGAGGTCAGCATGGATGAGGCCCAGGCTCTTCAGCTTAGTGAGAGCGGTGGCCACCTGCTGCAGCACGGGCCGGATGGACTTCAGCGGCAGCGGACTGAACTTGCTTTGCTTCAAGAAGTCGTAGAGGTTCTGCTCCAGCATCTCAAACACCAGACAAGTGTGGTTCTTGTGTTGGAAGCACTCAAGTGACCTCACAAAATTGAACTCGTCCGCGTTCTCCGTGCTTAGCAGGCTCAGGATGCTCACCTAAGAGGAGAAGCCAAGAGGTTGCTGAACATGGGAAAAATTTGACCTCTGTTTCAGGTCAGGGGTCCCCAAATCCAGTCATGGAGGGCCAGAATCCAGCAGTTTGCACATCTGTTCAAGCAGGAAAATCCAAAAACTGTGTTGGATTCTGGCCCTCCAGGACTTAAACTGGGGAACTCTGTAATTGGTGCTGAAAGACAGCCATTTCCATGTCTTAAGTCTGTTAAAGGACACTTACATTGGCCTGTGAATGAGCAAACATTTGTTTTGGAAGGTCATGCTGCTATTTCTATTCAGGACATGAAATGACACCCCAACACTCTGTAAAACATTATCTATAGTATGTCCACTGGACCAATGGAAGTCATAGTCAGGGTTTCTCTTCTATGTTTTCAGTTACTGAATAAAGCTGTTATAAGTAGCGACCATATGCAATAATATGAATGAGAATATCATTCCATCGACTTAAGTTGTGCAAGAACTGTGGTTAGTGGTATCGGAGAAGGCAGTCTACACAAACTATATGCATACCTCAATTTGCCCTTGGCGGGCATACGACGGATGGTTTTTCAGGATCTTAATTGCCACAATCTCATTAGTGCCACGCTTCCAACACTTGGCCACCTGGCCAAACGTTCCACGGCCTAGAAACTCCAGAACCTCATAGCTGTTGGACATGGAGCAAAGGATCTCATGCTGTACCAGTTGGTAGTCCCCTTCGCTGTGGGAGTTGCTACTCTTAGTGGTGGAGGTGGAATGAGCAATAGATTGGACGGCAGTTCCATCGCCGCCGACCCGGTGGGACAGTGCGGGGGCAGAGAGCTCCTCCAGAATCTGGACACTGTCGCTGCTGTCAACCTCTTCATTTTTGCGTTTCAGATTGTGCTGCCTCTGGTAGACACCGTGAGACTTGGAGGAAGCGGCTTCATTCACGCGGCAGCTCGAAGAGGAGGAGGAGGTGGAGGAAGAGGAGGAGGACGAGGAGGGCCCCGGGAGACTGCCTGTGCTGTCCGCAGCGCGAACCACAATCTGCCCACGGGAGCCCCCTGCTGGAGGGGGAATCAGGTTCGATGAGCCATATGCAGCATTAAAGCCAGAGGATGTAGGGGTGGCGGCATTTCCCTGAGAGGGGCTGGGCAGGTAGTACTTGCTCTCACCCGATTGGCTTGTTACATCCCATAAACAGTTCTCCACCTTCAGCTTTTTCACACAGGAAAAGGCACTGGAGGACACTGAAGGGGATGAAAAGACCTGAGGTTGGGAGGCCATCCTTACTGTAAAGAAAAATGAAGACAAAACAGAAAACATAAGTTACAGATTCATATATAACAACGAACATAAAACCTTACGATCTTTATTGCAACGTTGCATCTAGTATTATTTGATGTATGTGAGTAGATCGCAGCTGCAGCGACATTTGTACAACATTACAATTTACACAGTCTACGTCGGAGTTGTAAATGTATTTTCACGCACAACAAGGAAATCCACATCACACGTAATGCTGATTACGAAAACAAGTACGAAACGAAATGAAACAAACCTAGATTTTCACTGATAACAACAAAGCAATAGTTTCGTCGTGACAATTTATCGTTTAATAAAAAGCGTTATCCCCTTACAAAATTTCACTCAGTGGAAGTATTAGATATTTCCACTGATATTGCGGACATAAACCATGACAATCCACAGTCTCCGAATTAAGGCGAAAGCTACATCTATTACACTATAGTAATTCAACAAACATAACACTCTTTAGGTACAGCAAAATATCCGTATCATGTAATGCGTTTGACGCATCTCCTTACAATGGAAAACTCATCAGCTTCTTATAAAATCTAGCTACTTACCATTTGATCTTATTTCATCTCCAGACTAATGCCGGGTTAAGGCGGATAGACACCGTTTCCCCAAGCAGCATCGTACCCTGGAAAGGGCAAATAAACGATAAAAAGCCACATAAACGCACATTCGTATTAAGCATACATCACGGTAGGTAGCTAGCTAAATAGTTTATCGGCTGGCCGTCGATATTTGCCATTAGTGTGTATAACAAAGCACAGTCAAGACTCGGCGACGGATTAACCATATAAATAAAAAAATAACTAAATAAACACGCATATAAACTAGAGATAACGAGAAAACGTCTACAGCTAAATACCTGTATGAATCTTAACCTCGCACGTCCATATAATCATTCGTTTTTCCGGCTCCCCAGTTAGGCCTCATTGTTTCCCTACGACAACGTTAAAAATGGAGAAAAAAAAAACGTGAATAAAGAAAATGGAAGGATCCCTAAATATTTAAACGACACAACGCGACTGGATATGATTTAAACGAAAAACAACACGTTAAGCATCCACATTAAACACAGTTAAACAATTGAAGGACCGACGTCAAAGTGGAAAAGCCCACATCCCCATTAGTGTCAAAAGTCCCACTTCCGATAACGTTATCGTAAATGCAAAAGCTTCTTCTTCGGTGAATTCACTGGTCGCTCATGATCCCCGCGTGGAACTTACTGCCATCTACTGTCCGTAAACAGTATCGCCGCGGTGGCCTCCTCACGACACACCCAGAACACGGTAATGACAACAGTCACATCCATCCAAAGATCTTCCATCCGGCTCATTAAACTGAATAGTTGTGAGCGGCGATTTTACTTTTCTCTTGATCACGGTTTCCCCCTAGCTCATAGCAAGCAAGCCCAATGCTTCGTTTTCAATGTTAGCATGCTGGCGGGGTTGGGGCTGGTGTTTGGGCAGCCAGTTGATCTTGGACCTCCATAGGATTTTTTTCTCCCTACTTGGAAGTTTTTGGTTCCATTGTGATCTGTCTTAATAAAAAATAAGTTGTTGCAGAAATAATAATATATATTTTTTTAAGTTTTGCTATTCCATAGAACCAATTGAGGAGGTGGGGGGTGCTTTAACTAGCTACAAATGTTAACTAGAGTTGAGGGGTTCCTCAAAGTGTTATTTCAACTGATTGAAAATATCCCCAGATGTAGTCAAGCACTTCCTCACCCCCTGTTAAATATAGCCCGAGAAAAGTTGTGCAACAGCCTCCTGAGATGTTGAACAGTTTGCAAAAATATCTTTAAGTCCACCTAACCATCTCCCTCCCTGACCTCACCAAACTCCTCATATGCATGATGCCATCAGCTTTTGCCACTGTGGTTGCCTTTTCTGCAGCCCTTCTAGCCTATTGGTACCCTTCAGTTGTCACAGGAGAGCCCCATGCTAGCATTGTCCTCGAGGCCTCCCTCTTCAACTTGACAGCTTGCCTCACTACTGGTGTCTACTGGCATGTCAAACAGTTACTGCTATGACAGACACCAACTGCCTTCTGGTCACAGCAATACAGTGGCTGCAAAGAGGCAACAGAAAAGAACTGAAATGTTTTTAGCGAAATAACAGTGCCAGAATGTATAACCAAGTATCAATATAGTCATTAATTTTAATTAATGGCACGATAGGTATACATTACTGGTTTTGCAAAAATTCTTTAAGGGATGTGAGATTTTGTTTGGCTGGCTGAAGAGAATAACAGCCCTTACTGAATATATATCCCTCTAAGTCAACTTTTGCCATTAGTACCACGCTAATGCCCAATTTATTAAAAACAAGAAAAACTTCTTAAACAGCAAACTAAAAGGACTCTTATGACCCAGGCATAAAATTACAACTGCTCACCTTGGGGTTTTAGCAAAGAATTTATTAAACATACAGTCAAACACTTTTATTCAAACCTCGCAGTTGCCAGTTCTTTTCAATATTATAACTAGTGAGGATATAGATTTGGGCTCTCATAACAACAATAAACAGAAACAATGCTCTGAGTGAGCAAACAAGGAATAATAATAAGTCCAGCATTAAAAAATTTAACTACATGGGATGACGCATTTGAAAAATATATAGCATATTGTCTTTTTTTTACTTGGCTCTTGTGCTCTGTTGTTTTGATCCGGATCCTGGTCCATTTCTATTAGTATTCTCTGGTTACGAGTGAGGTGGAAACATGAATCGAGCATATGGTCAGGAACGAAGTTCTTAAATATGTCTTTGTAAGTATCTGCAGTGGTGCCAACTGTTGCCTTAAGATCACTTGCTTCCCATACTTCTCATTCCGGTGTCAACAAACACATCAACTCCATTCCAATGGACAAAAAGAAACAAAAACAACATAGGATATAGAAGACACCAGAATTGTATGAATATTTATTTGAAACCACCAACAAATATTGCACAAAGATTTACACCTTAAAATACTCGAACACTAATGCATCTGTGTCAAGCATTGTTTACTAAAATGAAACAAAAGCGAAGATCTGGAGAACACAGATTGCACACTTAATCTGCGTATGGTAATCTGCATTTAGGGTTGTACAGTATCTAAAAGTGCCTTTTACAGTAAGTCTGATCAATTCCTATTTAAAAATACTTCATCTTACTTGGGGTGGCCATAATGGAATTTCCCAGTACAGATTTTCAGGCAACATGGGCTACTGCAATAGTGTTCTGTCTTGCGTGTATTTGAGAATTAGCCATTGTTTACTCCCAGGATAACCCAAAAGTTGTCGCTCAGATTTATTTTACAGGTTGCATCATGGGCAAAAAGAGAACACTGTGTACTAGATGGGAATCTTAGTCAGGCAGACAGGCTGTTCCCGTCTTATTTCGGCTATTCAGTGTACAGCGATGCATAGAATTTAATCTTTTTTTTTTTTTTTTTTGCAATTGAGCTTGTGTTGGTAGTCTGTTTTTAATCCAAGTTTACTAAACCTACAAAAAGTGGGGCAGAAAATCCTCTGAGTGCAGAATGGTTTAAAAAATTATTCAAACTCCCATCTTGCAGGACACTAGAGGGTGGTAGTCACAAAGATGGCGATCACAAATCCCTGATTCAAGTGAAATGCTGACAAAACAGAGGCTGCACAGCTGGCTTGCTCAACAACCTTTACACACCTGCTTTTTTTGCTTTCTGTACAACGCGTGAAATGAATTACACTAATTTATGCCGTAATTTGGAGCTGGTGGGGTATAGCATGAAGGAAATCTTCACTTTTTTTCTTTACTTATGAGCAAAGCCAAGATATCACTGGTGACAAATCATATCAGATGCGTTCTGAATACCCATGAGCCAGCCTGTTTTTTCCTCATCTGGACAGCATTCAAATGAACTCAAAAGGTCCCCCCACCCCCCACCCCCATACAAGTGCCCTCCTCCCTTGAGTCTCACAGTTCCACCCTCTCCCTTGTTGGTCGGTTTGTTTTTATCGTTCAATTTGGGGTAATGAGACAGCCCCTCAGTTTTGGTCTTCTCTCACTCCTGCGCTATGCTTCGCAGTACATACTTGACTGTGTAGGCAAAGGCCGCAAAGCCCACTATGACAAACAAGTTTGCCAGCGCTCCGCCAAGGAGTCCGTGATTGCGATTGGCTTGCTGGAGGCCAGGAGGGTTGATGGCACCAGCAGCTGGGGGCAAATGCCCATTGAGGCCTGGGAAGCCGTTCTGCACGTTGTGGGCATCTCCATCGGGTACCACATCTGGGAGGGGCAGAGCTTGTGGTCGCGAGCTTAACTCCTCCTGGGCTTTCTGGTTCTGCTTGATCTCCTGCAGAAAAGCAAAAAAACATCAGCACAGTATTCTGGGAGGTCTGTGGATCAAAACTTCAACAAAATTTAAAAGTCAGGGATATGGCCACAGGAGTTCCAGCCCCAGCTGAAAGCTGATTGGCCTCTACCCTGTCACTCAAAAATTCAAAACACATCAGTGGCTAATGACAAGATTAGTCTCTCTGTATGAATTATGGTTCCTCTTATGTCACCTTAAAAAATCCTAGTTTTGCCCCTGGATAAAGTAGTCAAGTTTTGGGTGCTTAGAAAGAAATCTCTGACTGCTGGAAAATCAGTATAACGGGGATTAAACCCAGGTTAAGTTATAGAGGGTTGGGTGTGGCATGCAGCTAACCCTTCTGCTTCATGACTTTCCCCATCGTCGTTTCGATACATCATTGGATCAGGATTAAATTAACCCTCTGGGGTCTAGGGGTAGGAAACACACTTTCACTGACTGGGGCATGATCACACATTTCTTCAAATATCACAAACTTAATTCATGGCAAATAAATTATTTTTTATATATTTGTTTTGCCATTACACTCATCTTTATTTTAATGTATATTGTAAATATGTCAGATTTTTGTTAAGTTTGTAATTTGACATCAAACTATAGACATTGCAAAATGCAGTTTGGAACACGTGCAGAAACATTAGAAAAGTACATAGTAAGCAATGGTGGCAGTTTGTTTTGATCCCAGATATCTGATCACCAAAGTCTTGGCTACATGAAGATGACTAAATGGTGTAGTTGCAACATTCATTTGGATAAATGAATAAGAAAAACCGAACTCATGTCACTATTTCTGACTCCTTTCATTGAATATGTAGCAACTTTCATGTGTATGAATGAGCCATTGTCACCTGGCCACGTCCCCAACCCCCTTTTATGGCGCTGAAGGGGATGTATCTGGATCGCGTTTCACCATTGCGCTGTTCATCAAATTACCATGTGAATGCGATTTGAATACGCGCTAATGCGGCTATTTAGAATGTGAATAGCGATCTTCGGGTGACAGCGGTACTACACGCCCCCGATGCAGGTAAAACAAAGTAAGGTGACATGGTTTACTTTTTTAACCGATTTAACCTCATTTTAAAAACTTTAATACTTCAGACAATGGACGTTTTGAAAAGACAGATTACAGATTTAGCCAGTGTTTTTTTCATGATCCTACATTAAGATTTCAGCGAGATATAAACTGAAATAGACGTGAAAAGTACGCTGCGTCGCTGACGATGCACTCAACCCCAGAGGGTTAAATTTGGGAATGTTTTTTGGGAGTTACTGAAAAAGCCGCAGATGACACACAAAAAAGTCTGTAAGCCATAAATGCATAAAACACACGTACAGTGCTGGTTTGGAAGACACCAACAGTGTTTACGGCAGCCTCTCACATTATATCTCATGGTGATCTTTGTACCTTGTGTTTCTGTATCTATTCACTTCGCTCCGCTCGCCAAGTAGACCAAAAAACATTTGTGTTTTTCCCAGATTGCGGGAGGTCCGCGCCCCCAACCCCGGCAACATGGATGGCTCAACTATTTCAAATTGCTAATCCACATATACGTGACACCTTACTATCAAAAGGTATATATAATAAACCAGCATTCACATGCAAACATGAATGTAAACAAATGAAAATTAAAAGCTGTACAAGCTCATTTTACTGTGTAGGTCTTGCGTGACAGGTACTTACTTCAACAACATCTGGAAACAGCTCACAGAAAACTTTGTCTTTGAGGTTGAAAGCCAAGCTTTGGGCAGCGAGCTGTCTCTTCTATCAGAGAAAAACACATGCAGTCAGCACAGGAGTACGGAGGCCACAGTTTGAGTCTATTGCCCACATTACAGGTGTACGGTGTTCTGGTTGTGTAAAATAAGGAAACCAAGAGGACATTTTGCACAAACACAATGTTTGTAGCAACTTATTTTATTTAGCAGATGCTTTAATCTAAAGTTACATACAATTGAGACAGCAGGGTCAGCCTGGAGCGATTGGGTTAAGGGCCTCACTCAAGGAACCCAACAGTAAAATCACTCTGCCAACCACGGCTTTGAACCAATAACCATCTGATCATAAGTCTTAACCAGCAGAGCCAAACACCACTGCCAAACCAAGGACTTTTCACTTGTGAACTGAATATCATAACCACTACACTATGGAGACCAACGACAGAGTAAGTACTTGTACACTTACAGTGAAGTCTGAAGTTTCAATGCTGCCCAGTGTAGGACCTTTCTCTACCATAAAGCTTAAGAGCCCGGTCAGTATGGTGGACACCGACCAAGCAGGGTTCCATGTGTCAGGATGGAAGTCTGTAATGGAGAGACATAATCTGGAAGAGGGAGGAGAGAAGGGTCAAGGTAATATGTCAAAGGTTTAATCTATATGTGTAAAGAGTACCAACTAACTCTCTGCTGATCAAACACCTCTAGGCCGATGGGGCAGGAGTGAAGATCAACTACGCCCCAACTATGAGGCCCAACTGCCACACTTTACACAACACAGCAGTCAAATTCTCCATAACTATAAATATGTCATATGTTAATTACTGTACCCACAGGATAATGAATGGTTAAAAGGCCAGAAAAGTCTCCTCTGAAGTTCAAGATCTCTCAGTCCTTACCTTGTGTTGCACTTAAATCTCCCATTTGGTGTTATCATATAAATACTAGGAGGCTTAAAGGGAAATTCTCGTGGGAATATGAGTTTGCCGTGATAATAACCACCTTAAAAACAAAAGAAATGTATCTTTAAACACAGGAAAATCAATAGAATCTGACCAGCAGTATTATAATCAAAGAATTAATTTTATTAATGTATAATTAAGATGCTTTTCATTTATCAGTGATACAAAGTTCTTAAAATGTCATGCCAATCGCCAACTAAAAATTCTTCTCAATTCAGGATTAAATTACAGTACCACTACAATACTGTATTCATTCCAAGTTGACCCAATGCAAAAACTGACCATTAAGGTTCTTTAACTGTACAAAAGAGTAACCCTGAGAAGCCACTACACAGCTTCTTGTATCAAAGGCAAGTTCAATCAGAAGTACATTCGAAACTCCAGCTACAAAGGCAAGTGGCTGTTTCAACTCAGCAACCATATGTATGCTGCGACTAAGACCAGTCCCAAGCAAAATAAAAATCAATATGCATTTCTAGAAAAATGATGCAAAGGCTAAAAATTAAGTAAAAACAATGAGGCGGGGCTTACCTTCATAAGGGGTTTTTTCTGGTCCTCGAACAACATAGTGCCTAGAGGAAGACAGAACAATAACGTAAACAAAATCAAGTAATTAAGGAAACAAACTAAAATTTGACTGCAAAACACACAAATCTTTTGAGATCCTATGATATTCTTCAATTCACAAACAAAAAGTTCTAAAAACTGCCAATACATAGTAGGGCTGGGCGATATATCGATATTATATCGCCCATGTGCAATAATCACTAGGGCTTCAGATGACAGCCGCAACATTTTTCCATGCGCCAGCTTTTCGGTGCTGTACGGACATTTATTTACACCCACAATTTAAGCAGTTTAGTAGTATGGCTAAAATATTAATGAGGCTTTGTATGATGCCCAAAAGTAATTATTAGTATAAATATGGCATATCTTTATGTTTAATAAATGTGTCAGACTTTGAACTGCAAAAATACCACCACACCTACGAAGTCTTTTTACGTTGTTTATCCACAAGATCTCCTCTTTTAAAAGATGTCCTGGCTGCTCTTCTTCACCGCGACTTCAGTGTATATTGCACTGAGGTATACCAAACCGTAGTATACCAAACCGTAGTATACCAAATCAGTATATGTGGGGTGCTCCGCTAATCGAATTTAAGAAACATAAAAGTTTCTTTTAGGTATCACAAAATGCATCTCATTAATATTTAAGCTACTACTAGTTTCATACTACTAATCCCCTTACCAAATTATGGGTGTAAATTAATGTGCATACAGCACCAAAAAGCTGGCGTCCAGCCAAATGCTTCGCCTGTCATCTGAAGCCCTGGTGATTATTGAGCATGTACAATATAATATCGATATGATATCGCCCTGCTCTAATACATAGTCAACAGTAAACAAATTATTGTTCTTAACACACAGCCAAAAAGTTGCATGCCATATCATCAGGACTTTGATGGGACCTGACAGCAGTGACAAACTTTACCATTCCAAAATATTAGAGGGGAGAGGTTCTGCACAAATGTAAGGCACAGGGTCTTTCTTTATTCGAAGGTAGTCCTGTTTTAATCTTTGTGTTGCTGTCGTTGGTGCTCTCTTATTACTGTTGTTGCTCATCTGAAATGATATGACATTAAATAAAGAATCACATTAAAAAGACCAAATACATTCATGGTAGCATTTGTCTTGTCCATTCTTTCTTTGAGGTGATAAAAATCCACACCACCACCTCATCCCAACACAAAAGGCGGTTTCTGTAAGTAAGGACACACACTGTGTCATGCATGCATGCACGTACAGTCACTCGCACGAGTTGATGCTCTGATGCTTTTAACCCGCAAAACAGCAGCAGCAGCAATAACATAAAAAAATCAGCTTCACTATGAACAAGAGTATTCATTTACCTTCATTAAGAGGCGGTGGCTAACTTAATAGTAACAAATAAAAACTGAAAGCAGGCATAAGGGGAAAGCAGATGCAGCGAGGTACTCGAACCCATGCCCGTCCTGGGCGCGCTGAGCACCTGGAGCGACATCCGGCCACCCGCCGGACCACGATACCAGCCGTCCGCGGTGGGTTCCAGCTCAGCTTTATTACACAGCCCACCCGTCAGGAATAACCTTGAAGTCCTAAGGGATCACCGGGCCAGCCAGCCGACGCTTACGGGACAAGGCCTAAGCGGCTATCGGACGCTACTTTGTTACAACAGGCGGGGCGTTAATAGCCACACATGCAGCGGAAAAGTACCTGGGGGGCGACGGGCAGCCGCCGTACATTCGGCTCACAAACATCAGCCAGCCAGCCAGCTAAAGGCAGTTACTCTCCCCGCCACACAGAACTAAACAAAACAGAAAAAGAGCCAGCGCTAGCTAAGCGGGCCCCCAGCGCCAGCCCCATACGCTGCCCGCCCCAAGCGAGCCGGGTCTCGGCGTTTACCTCTTACTGCGCCCCGGTGACTGGCTGCTAAAGCTACGCGACCGTCTGCTCTCCTTATGTCGACGGGGAGTCTTTCAGGGATCCCGGGAAAGTCAGCTACAGATACGGCGACAGCACCTCCAGGTTCCTGTCCATTTCCACCGCGACTCCAATATGGCTACCCAGCGGCGGGGAGGGGTTTCTGGCCTCGGCGTTTCCGGATTACCGACAGCCCCGTCTCTAGTTTACAAAGAGCCCCTCAGTAAAATACGCTTTCCTCCCAACACATGCCAGGCGAACAATATTTACGTTCTTTATAACATTTACAAAATATCAGTAAGCACTTACTGCTTTTTTTACCGTTAGGGTCAGATAGGAAATTTACGACCGAAATGAGCGAAAAATGCTCCACCCGGTAGCACCCATCAGGCCCATTAGACGCCAAGGAGGCAAAGTAAATGAGGATCAAAATAAACAGGCAAGTGCAGAGCACCACTAGGGGGCGCTGTCACTAAGAGCGCCGTCAAAGGCAAGGTAAGCAGCGCGTTAATCGAACAGATCTTAATAAACAGACTACTGCAGAGCGCCACTAGAGGGCACTGTCACGAAAGACTCATTAAACGCTATTGTTGACCAAAGTAAACAAAGGCTTATCGAAACTGAGCACAATAATCAGAGTAGTATGTCTCACCACTAGAGGGCGCCGTCACTGAAAACACAGTACGTGAAGAAGGTGATGACAAAATCGCGGTTCCAGGTTATGCGGGCTGGGTGCAGAGGTGGATAGTTCATGTCCGGAAAGTTGAACCAGTTGAGTAGAAAGAGTCACTGTCACAGAGTACACAATTGGCTGGTTGAAACAAAAACTTTTTTGTTGATTTTTACTTTCTGTACATGGGTGGGTGTACGATTTTTTTTCAATGTTACAAGTTGCTTTGAGCACTTGTAATAATAATAATAATAATAATAATAATAATAATATAAGCATTTAAATGATCAAGTAGAAAAAACGGATATTTTAATGCTTGGCTAAAACATTCAGGGTTTAAGGCCACCTCAGGACTAACCAGGGTAAATACAGAGAGAGTATTTGACATCCTCTGAAACAGTGTAAAGGAGTAAATCTAAAAAGTTGAATGTTGTCCGCCGTACTTTTCCAAAACTTGACTGCATTTTTCCATCTGAAAATACACTTAAGTAACAAGAAAGTGCAAATCTCTTTCAACGTCTTGGCGACCTTTATGTTTTTCAGCCCAGTCAATTACTTGGTAGTGTCACAATTTTTTTCTTGCCATTCTTATCATCACAGTATATTTGCCTGTTATATATTTTACCCAGATATAGATTTTACCAGTCTAAACATTTCATTTATTTGACGTAAAGCAAAACTGTTGTTCACTGTTAGGATTATATATGAGGTTTAATTTATGTACCAATCATACTTACTACTCTCCTTGAACAGTCCGTTTTACAGGTTAAAAGTCCAGTTTTCAACTGAGCTTTTCTGAAACACAGTGTTTCATATCACAAATTTATCAAACTTGTCTGCTGTGTCTCTAGTAACTTGCTGTGATCGTATAGTGGACAGTAATCTGTCTTGTGGCCACAACAACCCTGGTATGAAGCACGGGATGGAATGTCATTTTATACGGAGTGAAGGTGGAAATACAGTTTGGTTAATCCAACCTGAAACGCATGTGGTTCAGTCTTTGGACAATTACAGACTTCAAAAGGCCCCCAAGCCACAGCTGCCTGAAAGATGACCTTAGCGAACAAACTGAACACTTTTTATTTTATGGGAGCTTTGAAGCGAAACAAGTGCACGGACCGTCACTGTGTTCTTGGAGAACGAGGTGAGCTGGACACTAAAGAGAGTGTTATACCAGAAAGGTAACAAAACCTTATGACTTCCCTGGACGGGTCCTGAAAGCCTGTGCAGACCAACTCATTCCAGTGTTCCGACCATATTCAGTTCTTCAAGCCATAGTGTTAATGTGCTTCAAAGGGCCGTCAACGTCCCTGGCCCCAAGAAAGCCCCCCCAGCGTGACCAACTGACTTCTGCCCAGTTACACTTAACAACAAGTTATGATGTGCCTTGAGAGACTGGGAAAATATCACATCTGCTTCACTCTTACCAACATACTGAACTCACTTCACTTTGTTCCTGTTTTTTGATACAGTTCAGCTTTTAACAAAATTCTCCTTTTCAAGGTCATCATCAGGTTCAAGGACTTGGGTCTGAACATCGCCCTATACAACTGGGTCCTGGACATTGTGATGGGCAAACCCTGGTTGTCTGACTGGACAGACACACATCATCAAACATCACCCTCGACACAGGAACTTCCCAGGACTGTGTGGAGCCCCCTACTCTACTCCCTATACGGACACATGACTATGCTATATACACATGACTGTGTGGCCAGTTGTGGTGGGTCGGATCTTCAATGATGATGAGACGACTACCAGAAGGAGGTGGAGAACCTGGCAGGCTAGAGTCAGGAAAACAATCTACTCCTGAAACTGTGGGAGGAGACAAATGAGGCACTACAACCCCTTCACGGTCAACATGGTACCTGTGGAGAGAGACTCCAGCTGCAAGCTGGCAGTCCACATGACGAAGGACTTGACATGGACAACACACATGGCATCCTTATTAAAAAGGGACGTCAGTGTTTCCACCACAAAAAGTTCAAGTTGGTTCAGAAGATCCTCAAGGCATTCTACACATGCACCATGGAGATCTTCCTGACTGGAAGCATCATCACCTGGGTTTGGGAGCACCATACAGGACAGCCCAGCCCTGCACAGAGTGGTGCGTTCAGCTAAACACACTTTTGGGTGTAATGTCTTGAACCTGTAGGCCCCACACAAGCAGCACTGCAGGGACAAAGCTTACCCCAACAATGGGCTCTTCTCTGCTGCGGTGAAGAAGACACTACTGCAGACTGAAGACCAACACTGAGGCTGAGGAAAAGCTTCTATCCTTAGGTCATTCATGTCCTGAACACGCACATTATCCACCCAATGTCATCGGCTGTCTTTTTCAGTTTTTGATACACTGTTCTCTATTTTTGTCTGTTTTTATTGTCTATTATTGTTATTTTCATGATTTTATTCTTATTTTTATTCTGTTAAATTGCTTTGATTTTTCTCTTTGAATTGCACATTTTGTCAAGCACAATCCACGAGGCAGATTTAAAGGCATGTCATTGCACAGTGATACAGTGTATGATTGGGTATGTGACAAATAAAAATTGAAACTTGAAAGTAGAGCAATCTTGCAATATTTGCTGAAAAATAAAATCAGGCACTAAATGTGTTTGGAGTATTATATTGTGCAAGGGAGTCGATAACTTACAATATCAATAAAAACAGATGCTGTTTACGTATATATATATCTTCTAGCAAGCTCAGTACTGTGAAGTATGGAAAGATCATAACAGGAGATTCATTGACCTACAGTAAATGTAATAACTGTCCAGTGAAATGCCCACATTGGCAGTAGTTTTCTACATATCATTAAGTGTTTGGTTTAATGAGTTCCATACAATATAACTAATAACACCTCAAGGGTAATTCACAAAATTGATACACAATATCAATTGCCTTTTTGATAATTTCTCACTTTTCTGGTTTCTATACTGAAGAGCATGTAAGGGTCACAGTTTAATCTTTTTCCTTACTCGACATCCGTTTTCATGCTAATTTGAATGGATGTTCCAGAAACATATGCAATCACTGGCTATTTGAGGGAGTATAGTGGCTGTTTTGGCGCTGATATTAAAAAGCACTTCTGTCTTCAGAAATATCATGTAAGCACCCCAATCTACAATGCTATCTTTGTGAACAGCTGAACATGCCTGGACAGTTACATAATTACCCATAAAGCTTCTTCACTTAACACTGATTTTCTCTATGTGTAAGTTGAAATGTAAAAACATGAACAACAAATGAAACACAGAGTAAATATATCTAGTAAAATCATTGTTTATTTTCAACCCAAAACACAGGCTTACCAAAAGGCCATCACATCAGTATTACAAAATACCATTAATTTGAGATATATTAGCATTTTGCTCCCAAAATGTTTAAATACATTGTGTGTGTGTATATATATATATATATATATATATATACACTATTTTAGCATTTTTACACAAATATTGACTACACCAGCATAGTCACCATGTAGAAGAATGATAAAAGAACCGGAATCATGCATAAAGATACCACCACATGCTTTACTTCTGTATAACAATAGAGTGTACAGAAGGCTTGGTTAAATAGGTGTGTTCAATTGCGTAGAAGTGTATAACAAGTTAAAATACCTACCCTTTACTGTCATGAATACACTGTCATATTTTTGTTATAACAACTACACCAGTATGGAGAAGTCTACGTTCGACATGAAGTTACCAGCACAGAGGCTGGTAATACATCCTTATAGAATCAGATGCTGAGAAATGAAAATAATTAAATAGCACTTTAAATATGCCTATTAAGTTGTAGATGGATTCAAAGACTATTCAGTTTAACCTCAATACAGCTGACCACGATCCCTCACCAGAGGATGCAGTTCCAAGATGGATCGACAATATAACTGACAGGCAGTCTTAGACAGATGGATGCAAGTGACTTCGCTTTTTTCACAGTGATTCATATTTAACTCACCACCATTCACCATTACATTGCACCCACTACCAAGTTCATCTCTTGTGTATCCGTTTCATATACCGTTGGACAAGACCCTTCTGTTCTCGTCAGGAAAAATGTTTGATAGCCCAGCTCTGAGAGGTTAAACCTTACAGTTCCTCCATAAGCTTGCATATATATGCTATTAGTGCCACCAAGAAATGAAAAAAAGTATATCAAATCACTTTACATGAAATAAGAGGAAAAGTCCTGCAAATCCCCACAAAACATAAGGCATAAATTATGAAGGATTCATACTAAAACATGGAAAACACTTCAATGTAACAGCAATTGAGTCTCTAGCAGTCACATGTTCCTGACTAATTTGGCTCAGTCGACTCCCATGAAAAACTACGTGCATTTTTCTGTCCCTCATTAGTAGCCAACATGACATGCAATCTAACTTAGCCCCTTAATTTAGTTATATGCTTCTTTTTGTATATCCTGTATAATTACTCTGTAGTCGCATGGAAATGGTTAGAGTCCATTAACCATCATTAAGTGGTGTTTCTTTTCAATAAAAAATAACCTTCGGTGTTGATAAAGTGAAACAATCTTTAGTAAAAGGCTACAGCATGATGGACGCCTCTCATTTAAGCCCAGTTTTAGTGATTTTATCAGAAACAGAAGCCGCTGGAGAAGGTCCCATCTAGTTCTCAGTCTCTGTCCATGGAAGTCCTTCGAAGGGGCGGCCTGCTGGAGATCGAGATGGAGAGAACGACCACCCAGACAGTGACGGCAGCACACTTCGAGTAGAAGCTGGGGCTCCTGGCGTGCGGCCGCAAGCTACCTGAAGGAGTGGCGGAAGTGAACGCTACGGCGCTTCAGCTTTTCGGGGTCGTGTGACGCCATGTGAGAAAACTCCCTAAAGATGTCAAGGTACGTGGTGTCACCTAGAGGAGAAGGGGGAGAGTCTTACACTGGTGCCTTTCATCCCATCGTAGATCTTTACGATGAAATTAAAGGTTCTAAATATTCCTTCTTTTTTTCCCCAGTGAGGAATACACAAAAAAATAGTTGTAACATTTCATTGCAGTTTTATAATATTTCAAATAATTTATAAAGCTCAGATTCAGTACCACGAAAATAAAAATGACAAAATCACTAATAGATCTGATAATTTGGCAAAAGGTCAAGTGAAACCTAGAGTGTCATATGAAAAATCTACCAGAAATACTCATAGAAGGAGATAAGATATTTTTGGGAATTTCCCACAAGGAAGATAATTATTATGGGAATTTTATATTTTATATGGATTTCTTACACTTTTATACTTAATGCCTTTACTATTTACAGTGACCCATTTTTGACACTGTGTTTATAATAATATTAAGGATAATAATAATAACAATAACAACATCCATTAGTATTTTCAGTATTAATAGTGGTATTTTAACTTTTTTATGCCACAAAATACAGTGTCAGGACCAATATGCTGTTTATCTGCATTTGCACTGCAGTTCCAGTGCATTAAATCAGTGTCATTACTATATCCACAGTGAAAAATGTGAAAAAAACAACCTAATTTAAACACTTCGGTCACTGACCTTTAACCTTACTAAGTTTTATTAAGGAAAACTTCGAAAGACATAGTGAGTAAATCCTTCCACCACACAGACCCATCCCAAGAGTTAATATCCTCTGTCTGCAATTATCACCCTGTACATGTTAGTGGGGGAACTTTTCTCTATTTTTTTTAGATTGTATTTGGGAAGAGAGCATAAATCAAAATCATTACCATAAAACCCATGATGATTGCATTCTTTTCCAGTATATTAGCCAGCTTTGAATTAGCGTATTATATATTACCGTACAATGACCATTTAACCTTTATAATTGGTTTATTAGCATAAGTCAGTGTGCTTTTTGAAAGGAGCGCACAGGAAATACTTTAATACTCATTTTACTATGGAATTGTTCATTTCCTTCCCTCCTATGAACAAAAAGCCCACTTTGTGTGAGAGAAAAGCAGTCTGGACAGGAACAGTTGGGAAAGAGAGGGGCTCCATAAATGAAAGCACCACACCCACAGAGGAACAAAGCCCAGCGTCAAGAACCATGACACTCCACTCACTCTATCCCGAAAATCCTTGAGCTGTGATTTCATGGCAGCCATGCCGACAGCCGTATCTATGGAGGCAACAACATTGTCAATGCAAATGTCACCCTGGTTAAATCTGACAGGCCCAGCTCATTAAAAACAAAAGAAAAATAATAAAAAAGATTTTGATTCATTTCAAAATCTTTTTTTTTTAATTGATTCTCTTAAATTCTTTAAAATTGTATATACAAGACTACTAAAATGCAAAAATACTGTATATGCTCAATCAAAACTGGAAGAACCTTCCTCCTTGACCTTAATATGAGTTGCTGTTAAATATAAAATGGACTTGAGTTACCCAAGGACAGTAATTCAGTCCGGTCATGTAATGGCAAATGCAACATTACTGAGATAAGTGCCCTACAGGGCTTGGGCTACCAATGAGTTAACCAAGGACACCAAGGACTTGGGCTACCTTGAGTTACCCAAGGACAGTAATTCAGTCCGGTCATGTAATGGCAAATGCAACATTACTGAGATAAGTGCCCTACAGGGCTTGGGCTACCAATCACTTATAGTTACTGAAAGCCAGGCACTTCACAGGATTTTAGGTTATTTTTTTAGCATCCTATAATATTCTATTGTTTTTATTTAATCTGCAGTCACAGTTTGGCGACATTACTTTTACGAATACCATAGTTCTTGGACCTAAACACTGAATGGTAAATCCAACCAAACACAACCTAAGTTAAGTATTAATATAATCTGAAATAGATTGTGTCTGAAAGAACAATGTCAGTAGGCACTTTGCGTATGACCTGCATGACTTATTCTCAGTTCATACAACTTTCATCAGCATTGCATAACTGTTCAGAAGTAATGCATACTTTATAAGTGTATGACGTTAAAGCTTCTCTTTAAGCATCATCTCAATAGACAAAGCCAAACAATCCATCCATCCATCCCCCAACCACCAGTACAGGGCCATACAATGGGGCTGGAACCTACCCCAGTACAAGGCTCAAGGCTAGGGAACAGAATGGCAGTTCGGTGCAGGGTATACTCCACATTACTGGCAATGTGCAAATATAAAAGTCAGAGAAGAACATGCAAACTCCACAGGCACAATGTTGAGCAAGTGTGCCTCTAATATACACATACAACTTGTCCGTTTGTCTTTACATGAACACAGACCCCAGATTCATGTCCAACCTTGCAAAACTGACACGCATAGAAAGTCGTACATTATTGCCCTGAAAGACTTGGCCCAATATTTTCTCCTCTCAGCCAGGGTTGCTTGTCTGTTATCACATAATTGCACTGCTGGATGTTTGATATTAATCACTGTTTGTACCTTAATTCCCTCTCTCGAATCAAATTTATCTATCTTGCATCTGACCATCTTACGCCCCAGCAAAGTGTGAACATTAGGACACTCAGTTAAGTTCAATCCATACTTGAAGAAGTGATTTCTATAAGGGCCAAGCAAAGATAAAACTTACAGTGTACCTGTACATCTACTTGTGCAAATTTCAAATAAAGGTTTTATCATCATTAACCACTAACACCCATCGATTAGGAGATCATGTGCTCCAGGGCACAGGAGGATAGGGTAGGATAGTGTGTGGTGTGGTTGATTGCATTAACAGTGATTACCAGTGCTTCACACTCTCAGGTAAGCTTCCAGTCCCCTCACACTCTCGGGTAAGCTTCCAGTCCCCTCACACTCTCGGGTAAGCTTCCAGTCCCCTCACGCTCTTGGGTAAGCTTCCAGTATCTGCGTTCACGAATGGTTCCCACCCTCTCCAAGGTTAGCAATGTTAGCTACACTTAGCAGAGCAGAAATATTGTGAGATAGATTGAAGGAAAGAAACACAGAGAGAAAAGGTTACGAGTTCATCCACATCTTTCTTTTATTAGTATTTTTTCAGTGTTTTAAAAGACAATGGTAAAAGGAAAAACAGAGGATTAAAAAAGACAGCAATAGGTATACAAGGCTATTCTGAGATACAAGTTGTTCTCTAACAATATTAAGAGATTGTACAGATTGCAGCAAGAATGAAAGCAAAGAAAAATACAGGAAAGTTTCACAGCAGTTTGTCAAATGCAGACAGTCAAAGAGTTAAAAGCATATTTACAGCATTGTTCTTCATAAGCATTTTCTACCCCCATGTTACTACACTTACCCAAAGAGTAAATATTTAATACTTCAGCTGGTTCAGTTAACACCACAAGGTTTTGGTCACTATCCAATACTTCTCCTACGTATCCTAAATCATTTACCATTGAACAGTTTTCATTTGCATCACTGAAAAGGCAAACTGCCCTACACACCGCTACCTTTTAAAAAGAAACTGGAATGAAGTCACATTTTGCACCGGTTGAACATTCGTTTAAAATCAGAAGACTAAAAGTGCTTTTTTTTTTTAACCGTGTTGTTATGGCAATATAAAGTGAGAAAAGGTCATAATATGATCCAGTCAGGTCCTGATAACTCACATACAAGCTACACTTCCTTCGAAATCATCAAATATTTCAAGTCTAATGGCACAGTCATTAAACTGGTCTATATATTTACACCAATGCTTGATCTTCTAAACCAGGGGTGGGCAATATTATCCAGAAAGGGCTGTTGTGTGTGCAGGTTTTTGCTGCAACTGCCTAATTAGATTGCTAGTTAGAGGACTGATTGGCTGAAGAGTCCTCACACCTGGGTTTGAACAGCTGACCTAAAGGACCTAAAGGATATCCCAGAAATCTGCATACAGATTTGTGGATAAGATTGGCCACCCCTGCCTTAAACTCTCCACTAACAGAAAAATAAAGTATCCTAATGTAATCCTCATTTAAAGCAGAGGCGAGAAAGTGGGTATAAGATACAGGAATAAGATCTCCTCTTAACTAGAATTATTTTCACACAAACCCTCAAATAATTGTAGGTCTTTGGCAGTAAGTACATGGGATGCACTCTTAGCACACTCTGAGGATGCATCAAGCATTTCCAAACCATCGGGACAAGTAACAAAGGGAATCGGCCCCTTCTGTACTCACATTTACACAATCAAATGGGACGTTCCTTCACTTTCCATGGTTTGAAGAATAACTGCCTTAGATAAAGTCACTGTAACAGTGATACATACTGTATAATACTGGCTCCATTATCTCAGAACTGTACCTCGAAAAGAAGCAAAAACTGATATTTTAGACCATTTATCAATCAAATCGATTTATGCATGTACATTACCCTTTACATGCAAGACGAGCAAATTAATTGACTTCATTGTCGCAGTTTGGGTTACTTTGGGTGGATTCGTACAATGAAGAACGGGTCTCATTAGAGCCAGCACAGGATATAATAGATAAATAATGTTAGACTACATAAGATGTCGGGCATGAACCCGAATTAATCTCATTTTAGAGATCCATTTATAAACAGACCAGTCTGGCCCTTATACACAGCAGACCAGTGTCTCCCAGCCACAAAGAGAGTGTACCTTAAATAATCAAGAATCACATGAATTTATTACCCATGCACTTAAGCTGAGGGCTCTGGTCATTCTGGAAACTCTTAAACTGGCTTGAATGTAGACATCAGGCAGTGGATCTACACAAAAACAGCTCACAAGCTAAAGCCTTTTTTATGTGGCTAAAATGTCACTACTTCAGTGATCTGTCCACTGCAGCTAGCTGCTTTTTGAGCGAAGGCCTCTGCATGATGTTACAAATTGTCACTGAAGATCTGCCACTGCACTACAAGGATCTCAGAAATAATTGGACAATATATCAAATATTCACATAAACGGTGTGTGGACCTGAGTGACATAGGCGTTGTGACCTCCAGCAGTATTTAATCAGGGATACCCTAATCAGAATAATAAATGTATAATAATCATAATACCTCAATCAAGTTTTCAACAATCTAGCAATTACACAATATTTGTTTTCATTTATCTTAAATGGAGAGCACAAAAATAAGTTTGTTCACGGATAAATCCTAGTAGTGTTCTGTTTTTTCTTTTTCTGTGTGAAAAAGCACGGAAATTGGGAAGTTAAAATCCTACAGAGATATTCACCAGGTGCTGTCTGGAGTTACAGTTTTTACCAGTTTAAAAAATACCATCTGTGGAGTTTTCTCAAAAATTAAAAACAACATTTAAAAAACATTTCAGAGATATTAAAATAATCATTGCACTAGTCCTCTGGGCAGGCCAATATAAATAAAAATAACACACAGCACACAGATTCTACCCCATAAAAAGACAAACGTGATAAAATTGACACCAAAATGAAAAATTACTTCAGGGAAAAAGTGCAAAAAAATGCATGAAGTCTAAATAATATCCTAGCATTTTTATTTAAATAAGTCTTATCTAAAACATTCCTTTAGCATATACATATTTACACGCGCACGTTCCATAAAGCACAGTTCCTTTACGGATTCTCACACACATCACCCAACCTCATCTCACACCCTGTCCCAACTCTCTTTCCAATGATTTCTGCAAGGCCTCAGCATCTCACAGGCAACAATACAAAGAGAAATTGTTCACCTCATGCCACTGGAACACAATGAGAACGGAAACGGGAGTGTGGAAATACTGCACTCATGGACAAAAATATACATATATAAAAATAGGTTAGTAGGTATAAGCTGAATTGTATGGACTGAAATTGCATGTAGGCTGTACTCTGTTCATGTGAATTCGTGTGAGGGGTTCGAACCAGAATCTACTTCCAGGCGGGAACAAATTATTATCTAAGGAAACTGTTGGGATGCAGATGGTGACTAAGGAAGAGATCTAGAAGGTGTCCTCCTGCGTGGGACAGCTATCTGGGTGAAGAGCAGAATTTAGCAGCAAAATACAGAATTATGAGACTGTTTCTGACTCAGAGGAGATGGCTGAGTTTGGGGAAGAGTGTCAAGGTGGCACCTTTCACTAGTGACTTTGACCAGATCTGGCTCACATCAAAACTGTATTATTGCAACTATATACTGAAAATGTTATAGAAGTTGTTTGTAAAGTTGGTCCCTTAAATGCAGTCAGTGGGTGGCCTTTTTTATTGTCAGTTCTGACCAATCACCTCTGTTTGGACACTCAGCGCTATAGGTTTGGACCACCTGAACATGTGATATAATGGCAGTTTACCCTAAGACCACAAGATCTGGACTCACTGAGTGTCACTGTGTGCCAACTGCTTCCTTCTGGATCAACCCTTATTCCTAAATCGAGTGCAAACACTGGCCACCGACTCACACCCAGCCTATGTCCAGGATTTTATAAACCAGCTCTCAGAAGAGGTATTTCCATGCATACTAATATACTTGTTGACTCCCAGAGAGAATGCAGGAGGCCCAGCCTACCCGCTCTGGCTGTACTGGCTGGTGTTGTTCTGGTTTTTGGGCAAAGCCGAGGGCTATAGCGTCTCCTACAGGGGAGCTGGGAGAACACCGCGGAGACCAGGCTGGCGCGGTCTGGAATGCTGGACTTTGAGAGGCAGGCAGGGCACCGCAAGGAATATTGTTCGGTAAAGGACATCGCTCGCGGCTGAGCTGATGACTTTTGGCACAAGATTCCCTGCGGGCCTCTGCCCCAAACCTCTACCCTTTGGCATGCGCCACCCCTCCCTAGGCCCAAACTGGATACCAGAACGGGCCGTGGTGAAGAGGGTTGGGGGTGAGTGTTGCCTTAGCATTCATCTATGGTAAGGCAAATGAACTCCTGAATACATTTCTTATACTGCTGCTCGGTGGGGCTGCAGCTGGGATATTGACCTGGCTGTCCGAGGGGGCCTTCGGATTCCCGCATCTCCTCGTTCATCCGAGCCAGACGTAACCTGGCGGGGGAGGGGAGACGGGGGAGGAGAGGGAAGAGCGGGGAATATAATAGTAGGAAGGCAGATTGGGAAAAGAGACAAACAGAACAAGTTAATAATACATGAGCCTCCTATTGCAGAAACTGCCCACAGCAAGCTATGGTTCATACACATGCTGGGGGGGGGGGGGAGGTCTTTTTGGGGTCTGGCATGGGGTACACATGCACCTGGAACCTACAAGGTGACGATGTCGGCGTTGGCGGCCTGCACGGCGATGCTCAGCGGGTCCTGGCCGTCCTCATCTCCGTTCTGGTTAGCTCCTCGCTTCAGGAACAGGCAGACTTGCCTGGAAATGCCGGGCAAAGTGGAGAGGAAGTCAGCTGGGTTCTATAAATAATTCGATCAATTGTGGTACAAAAACAACCCCGTTTCAGGCGAGCCACCAGCCTGCAGTCACTTCTGTGACCAGCCAATGCAACAAAGGACTCTTTATGATGCTGTGGAAAGCCTACGACTTGAAAGACTCTCGGAAGTTATCCTAAAAAGTTAAAGATAGGCTTCCGTTTAATATTGTATAATCTTCGATTATTTCCCACTGATGTACCCGATTTGTCAAGCATGGAACAAACACCAAGTCATGGCCTTGCTACATACCCCGTGTGTCCTAGATATGTGGCATGGTGGAGGGCCCCCCTCCCTCGGATGTCTCTTTGGTTGACGTCGGCACCATTTTGCAGCAGAAACTCGCAGGCTATCAATGAACCCTGTGGCCGAGAGATCAAGCGTTCAAGCGACTCTTTTAAACAATAATCACAATTACTGTGTTACCGTGCATGGGTAGATGCAGCCCACCGTGTCATTCACGTTAAATTATGAAAAATTAAGGAAGAGATGTAAAGAACCAAGCACATAAGCTAAGATAAGGAAAGTAAAGTACTTTAACCCATCTGGTTTCTATTTTGGGAACAAATAAAGAGAAATTTACCATATAACATCGAAAAGAACTGTTGGATACTGAGAAGCTGCCGGATAGAAGCTTAGTGACGTCTGATTTCAAACTGTTTATCACACAGTATGCCTGCAGCAAGAAGGCGGTTGATTGGACATCAAAAGGCAGAAGGTTGGTGGGCGGGGCAGTTCTCTCATCTTTTATGAACATTGTAAAGTCTAATTAGAGTGTGACGTCAAGACATCTGTAAAGGCAGCTGATGAGTACTTATTGCTTAAAGTTTTGCAGATATTTGGCAGGATGCATCTGAATCTGAAGGAGGATGAAGCTCAATATCTTGTGAGCTCGGGGTGACAGCTGCCAGAAGACTTTAGATATCCTGCTTCTGAGTTAAGAGTGCAGCAGTGCTTGCGTCATGGCGCACAAGAAAGCGGAGAGGATGTGCGAGGGCAACGGCAAGAGCGGACAGAAGTGTGGGGGAGGCTCACCCCGGCCACGGCTTGGATAAGCGGGCTCTTGCTCTCGTCCTCGTCATTGGTGGCGTTGACGTCCGCTCCATGAGCCAGCGCCGCCGCCATGGCGGGAAGGTTCCGTGCTCGTGACGCCTTGTACAGAAGGCCGCCGGGGTGCAGGTCCCGAAGGTCCTCAGGGTCCGACGTCTCCAGCTCTGTCTCCCCGCTCGACTCCTCCGAAACCTCGCACTCTGGACATATGTACATGTTGTGCTTATTACAACATGGTTAGATCCATACCATAACTTAGAGATGCACGATATATCAGTATCGGCCAACATTCGTTAAAAATCAAGACATCGGCATCAGTCTGATGTCTCGTCTTGGTCGATATTGCTGGCCGATATCGAGACTTTACTGGCAGCCGTTTAGCGGATTGTCTGTATATCCTTTTTCTCAGGCGTTGACATTTTTTTGGATAAAAACAAATGAAGTGCCCCACTTTTTAGACACTGGGCAGCCCTAATTGGTATCAGTATCGGTGAGTACCAGAAAGCGAGTATTAGCACTCGTATTCGGTTGGAAAGAAATGGTATCTAACCTAGCAGTAATAGTGCCACTGTTTCTGTCATGCATCCTGCATGGTCTGTACCACTGACCACAACGATCCTCCATCATTTTTTCCCACCACATTATTGTTTAACAAACATGATCTCATTTATAATATCCATATTTTTTCCACTTGTTTACGGGAAATATCTCCTGAGGCATATTGAAGAAAACAGAAAGCTACAATTAAAAGTAGCATAATCCTGTACATATGCATAGCTGCACTTAATGTACAATGCAGGCAAATTCTCTGTCAAATAAGCAAAGATCTTGCTATCGGAAATGTTAACATTTTTTATGCTGCTATCAGCTTCAAAGCTCGTTTTTCCCCCAAAGCGCCATAAAATACCCAGTTGAACAAAAAAGAGCTTTCCAGCCTTTCCATTGATGCCTTATCACATTAGTTTCTCTTCCTGTGTGTGTCTGTGCATATGTCCGTTTAGCTCTGTCACCTAGCTCCATTTTTTTTTTGTAACATTGGTTATTCAGCATCATAATGCTGGAAGAGGTTTCAGTAAAACGTGTTTGTGTGTGTCTGTGTGAGTATATAAGGAAGAAAGAGGAATTATCAAAGAAAATATCATGTCCTTGGGGAATAAAAAGAATAACAGCGAATTAACGTCCGATACAATTTAGTCCATTTCATATTGAAATATTTCATCTTGTTCCTAGTGCAGCCTAACAGCAGTAATACTGCTTCTGGGCTTATTGTCAATATGAGTTTTTGATATTGTGTGAGTTTGTGACCCTGGACACTGATTTGCCTTCTGGCAAAAGATGCAAAGTGCTTCTTACATAAATTTAGATTTAAAAATTATTTTTAGCAGAAATAATGAGGGGAGGGCAGTATGTTTCACACGTTAAAATAATTTTCTCTAAACAATTATTATATATTAAAAATTCATTAATTTTGAAATACAAATAACGAATGAACATAAATACATAATGAAAATGTCACTTTTTCATCCATTTTAGATTTTCCAATTCGTAAAATAAAATTTGCCAAATTTAATGAGCATTTCAACAATGGGTAACAGTGAGGTGATTCTCAGTCTCCCCACCTTCCTCCGTGACACTGTCCACCACCGAGCCAAACAGCAGGATGTCCGTGCTGCCGTCTGTACTGCCACCGAGGCCACTGTCGCTGCTCAGACCTGCGGGGCCAACGAGTGCCAAGCCAGGGACACGTTACTCACTCCCGCTGCCTCAGCAGAGGGTGCCAGGTCGTGGGCCAAGTCCCACTTCTTCAGCCATTTAACACTTATAAATGTCCGGTGCCCCCTTCCCCCCTGAGCCGTGTTTCTCAACCCTGCCCTTAGGGATTCCCAGATAGTCTGCAATTTTGTTCCCACCCAGCTGCCAGGTATTCGATATTTTCAACTGACTGAGAGCTGCGAGGACTGAAAAATGCAGACATCTGGGGGTTCCTGAGACCTGGGTTGAGGAACACTGCCCTAGAGGAAAGGCGTGAACCTGTAACCTCCAGAAAACCCTCTCTGAACCTTCCCTCCCCACATGGAAAGACACTGCAGACACTACCAATCATACAGATTAACCGAATACCAGACATACAGACACTACCAATCATACAGATTAATCGAATACCAGATTAGCATGAGAAAAGCCTTACTGCGAGGCCCGGAGCCCGTGTCGAAATAGGAGAAGAGAGAGTCCAACTCGTCCGGGCAGAAGAGCGAGTCCCTCCGAAATTTCCTCTCCAGTGCGGCAGCTACTGAAGTGAGTGGGTGAAAGAGACAGATTCCCAAACGATTGAGTTTGTAGTTCACTGTCACCTGATCACTGTCCCATTATGTTTACACATATTACAAACATTATATTTATTTAGCACATGCTTTTATACAAAGTGACGAACAATTGGGAAAACAGGGTCAGATAATCCCTGGAGCAATTTGGAGGGTCTTGGTCCTTCCTTCCACTGCCCCCATGTCCTATAGTTACTACCAAAGTATGAACAACCCTGTGTAATACAGCATTAGGTCAGGTTGTATCCCAATGCTATGTATGTCACACAGGAGCACAGGGGTCCACGCACCTGAAGACAGGGTGGCCGGAGAGGCACTGCCAGGCTCTTGCCGGTGCTTGCGGCGTGATTTGGGGGCTTTGCCACTGCTGTCGTGCCTCTGGCACGTCTTCACGCTCCAGCGCCGTGATTTCCGCTCGCCGTTCACTAAGGCTTCGCTGCCCGACAGCTTCTTCAGAAACTTCTTCTCCACGTACTTGGCTTTTATCCAGGCCTCCTTCTCCTGTCTGGGGGAAGAAAATGAGTTGGGTACCGCGAGGGCGTGGATGCATGAGCGGTTTTTCACAAAACTAGTCCGGGGTCAGCATCTGGGGTCATGCCGTGCCCCTTTAAGACTGCTGGGACAGCGGTGGTTTCGGGTTACGTTACACATGATCTGAGCTGGAAATGTGCCACAATGAAACCTAGAGGAGTGTTCACCTTGAACTTGAGGGCCCGGGCTTCTTCACGCCTAATTCTTCACAAGACCCTTCATAAATGTGGTTGATGGTGCCGTTTCCCAGCTCGCACATCAGCTACACACGAAGGATAAAAAGGAGGAATCTAAAGTCAGTGGTCACCGTAAGTACTTAAGTCTCAAATGGCCGTCATTTAAAGTGGCCATATAAAGCTTGACTCAGACCTTAGTTAAACAGGCCAAACAGTGAATTCTAAGCACTAAATAAATAACTGGCCAAGGTGATGCCTGACTCTTCAGTGCAACCCACCTTCAATAATTCTGGTTCCCAAGAATCCAAAGTCAGTGACCGGACCTTGGAGCAGTGAACGCCCAAACTCCTGAAACACATTAAAAAAACGTATGAAGCAATATGCAACATCGAAAGATACATTTAAGTTTTACGGTAACGCCACACTTGGAGTATGCAACCTCAAGACAGCGTCTGGCAGACGTTGGAGTCATGAAGCCTTACAGTTCTACCCTCCCCCGTGCAAAGCTTCCGTCAAGCATGCCGAAGGGCTCTTTCTCCTCTGAGGTCTCCTGCCTTCCATCGGCCAACCGCCCAACTTATGTAACTCATGCTTTTTTAATAACCCAATTCCCAAGTCTTTGTTATGATCAAGATGGCATCTCAGTGAAGAATGCATCTCAGGAATTATTCTTCTTAAAAGCAATAAGAATGCTAACTGATAACCTGCAGTATAATGCCAATCACCACTGTTATTAATCACCACCACTTTAACCATGTCCTATTTGTATGTTATTGCATATTGTATGCACATTATTGTTCACTAATCTGTTATTGCTATTTATTGTCATATATCGTTATATGTTAGTGGGCAAAACCAGCATTATTGATGTGAAATTTACGTTCATATTGGAAACACAAAATGCCTCATTGCATGGACAAGCTTAGTATGAATGTGGAGCTTTTCATATCTTTTCATGTAGCTTGCTGGGATGAATTCAAGAAAATAATAAAAACTAATACATTATTTTACATGTTTGAAATACACAAAATTTCATGTTTCATGTTTGTGGACCTCATTGCCCCATTTACGTCTGCAGGGAGGTCTGCAAGCAAGAATTTCGTTGTGGTTGTATAAATGACAATAAAGCTTGTAAATCTTGGACCTTGTTTAATTAACATTTTCACTGTCTTCTAATTTTATCCATCTGTATAGATGTAGTTATATAGTTAGGTAATACCACTTTACAAGTGCATTCAAGCATTATGGGCATGGACAAGATTAATGGTGGAGAACAGCTACCAGATCACTGGAATCAGAATGATCCAGAATCCAGAATGATCTGCTAATGCTGAGCTGATCCAATAAGATAATTTACTCGCCTCTTAAAATGTGAAATGTGTTCAGGCGGAAACAATCAAGCAAATTTTCCCTTGGTGTGAAAGTAATGTGACAAAGCTTCTAGAAGTATCTATAGTTACATATTCCACCTGAAAACCACAGGGTTTAATACCTTGGGAAAGTAACTGATCAGCCAAAAGTGCCATAGAAATTTCTCCCATTGTAGTTTGTAGTTTCACCACAATCCTTGGGGTCTTTTCGGGTGTCCAAGCAACCGATGCACCACAGGAGTTTTAAAACTGCACATTTTCAGCCAACGTTTCTCAACCCAGTCCTCAGCAACCCACAGACGGTCCATAGTTTTGCTTCCTCCCAGCTCCCAGTAAGAAAACGTGGACTGTCTGTCTGGTCCACGAGGACCAGATTGAAAAATACTGCTTTAAGCCATAACTGAGTGGTGAACAAGAAAACAAGGAGCCTGTGAGGCCTTGAATATTCAACAGATGGTCTGGGGTGAGGGGGTGGCGATTACGCAAACACTAATAATCATCTCTGGATCAAACTTCACTCCTACTACAAGTCAGAAAACTATGGCAATATTTAAAACACCAAAGAAAAAAGGACCCCATTGTAAAAAAAAAAGTGAAAATATGATCGATCACCTCGAAGATAACAGTGTTGTCTATGTCATCAGTGCCATTCATGTGACGTCATACTAGCTGAGGATCTGGTGTGCAGAATGTTTACTTAATTGACTGCTGGTTACTCCTGTTGGCACTTTCATAACCGTAAGTCAACAGACACAGAGGACATTCCTGTTCAAGGTCCAGTCTATAATTCCACCCCCCCCCACACCCCGTTTTGCCCTGTCTGTATTGTTTTAACTGCCTTACATTATATTTGTAGTCTGTATTGTTGTGCACTGTCTTTAGTCACTTTGTAGCTGAGTGAGGCCATCCAATACACATTTTGCACATGGCCAATAAAGGTCTTGACTCTTGACTTATAGTCCAGTTAAGGCTTAGGGACTATTTTGTACTTGCCCCACTGAAACACCAACGCGTATATCCGTGGTTCTTCCAGGGAGGTAATGACCCGAGTACCTGTGGATGCCGGAGCACTCGATGCACAGCAGGATGCCTAGGTTGATGCTGGCCCAGCGTGGATCGGCCTGGCCGCAGTCGCAGCAGATCTCGTTGCCCGGCACGGACTGGACGCGGTGCAGTATGCCGTCCGCACGCACGCAGCGCTCCCGCGGTTCGCTGGCCGAGTCGATGCTGCTGGTGGACGGTGAGGCCGTGCGGTCTAGGCGCTGTATGAACATACGAGCACATGACCAGTCTGTGAGGACACTACTGAGGCAACGAATTGACAAGAGGAAGGACTTGTACATGGGAAACGGATGGACAGTGTAAAGTGATACATACTAATGTAAAGTAATGCAAGTGCAACTAACTGCAAGATGCTAAACATTATTTTTGCATTTGTGTTATTGCAAGTAGTTATGAAGAGTGATTTGCATAACTCTGATGAACCTGATTTGTAAATTGCATAGAAATTTTTGCAAAACTGAAGTTGTAATGCTGACTCCTACATGCACACACTTACTCTGTTGCACATGTTCTGCACAGTCAAACATGGAAAAATGCAACTGCAATTAATGGAACCACATTGGTGTCAATACCCCATGTTTAAGGCGGAGGCTGACCTCGATGTAGTACGTGTCAGGGCTTTCCCGGTAGGCCGAGGCGATGCTGGCTTGCACTGCATGGATCCAGGCCTGCCTCAGCTTTTCCGACTCCGCCTGCAGCATGCAGCTCCTAGGAAGGGGAGACGTGCTCCAGGTTAGACCTCCAAACACACTAATGCTCACCTTCAGCGCTGTCACCATCCTTTTCATTCCACACAAGCGGAGTATCAATCAGAAATACACTGGCATTTACTGAAATGTCTGGCACAGTGAGTGCCATAGAACCCAATAAAAGGGATCTTTAGCTTCAACTGTAATCTTGGTGGTGCTGATTGTTTGTGACACGGGGAACTTACTTGGTGGGGGAGACTACCTCGAAGCAGAACCTCCTCTCGATGTCCTCGCAGGGCTTGACAGAACAAAGCCTCAGGTCCTCCACCACCACCGTCAGGGAGTCCTGCCATGGTACGAGAACAAGTGCCACTCAGCCTCAGCCAGCCAACATCACCTGAGCCATCTCAGCATAAACAGCATAAATCTACATAATGTATATCTATGGTATAAATGCATGTCTATATGCATATCTACATAATGTATATCTATGGTATAAATGCATGTCTATATGCATATCTATATAATGTATGTCTATGGTGTAAATGTACATCTATATATGCCTATCAATGTAATGTATATTTACGATATAAATGCATATCTATATGTATATCTATATAATGTTTATCTATGAATGTATATCTATATGCTTATAGATATCTATTTGATAAATGCATGTCTATATACATATACACACACCAATATATGACCCTTGCATCTTACTCAGGACACTAGTTGTTGCACAGTTTTTTTATATTATGTTATTTCTTCAGTTTTGCTGTCTTGTTTAATTAACACATACACAAATGCATGTGCACAATGACAATAAAGTTGACTTTGACATCACCGTGATGCTTCCGCAAACCACTAGAGGCCCTTTCATGACTGGAGCCAGACGTGCCCTATTTCTGCAAGCTGGTTGGAATTTTGAAGTGCATGGTGAAACGCATGCTAGGTATTGAAGAACCATTCAAGACTGAACGACACTGCACCTCCTAGGCTGATACTGATAGCAGCCTGCACCCTGTCTGCTGTGTCTGACAGCTCTCTAGGTTGCCCTTAATCTCACAAGAAACACCCGTGCTGCATGAGGTTTGTGCTTGCCTTTAACTTCTTCTGATACACCAGCTGACTGTTTTGTATGGAGAACCACCGCCTGGAAAAGATGCAAGAGACATCCATCAATTCATGTGTGCTGTTCATCCTGTGCAGAAGGTGCAGTCCACTTCTCCAACAAAATAGCACAAGGCCCTTGAAGGCTTTTGCCTGATCACATTTCCCTGGGCATCTAGGAAAATTCAAAAATCCAGATACAGATATCTACTATTATTAATTCACTTAAAATCAGTTGAAATCAAGAATCATCAAATGATTGAAGCATCAGTCAGTGGGGGCAAAGGGGGAGACAATCATTTTTCTGATACGTGATGCAACAATCAATTGCAGAGGAGCCTGCGGTAGCGTAGAACTATTTTCTAATGGATCGGGACACATATGGATTCCTGGCAGGCCATTAATGCTAAAGCTCTGACACTTAATCAAAGAGGATTGTGTCCTCAGCGTGCCTGGTAGCCATCCTCAGCAGCAACATACTGTATGCACACCCTTAGTACAGTAATTCTGATAGTATTTACATACATTTTTTTCCTGCTAGTTATTTTTTAATAATCTTAATGACCAATGTAAAGTAGCATACAGGAAAATGGTAGGTGGAACTTACATACAAAGAAGCAAACAAAAATAATTACATTCAAGTACAAGTAAACATAACGATAATTTACAAAAAATAGCAACTACAACCTACGTGATTGTGCATGTAAACATGACCCAACAATTCGTAATGAGATTCAGCAACTTCATGCATGCCCAGTGCTCCGATGCTGTTAAGCGTATTTTCCCCGCTTGGAACTAAGCGACTCCTCACCTGTTCCATGTCTTAAAGGCGTTGCTGGCCCTTTTGAACAGGTACCCTTCCATCACCACACCGTTGGGAGCATCCACATTGAACTCCACCTTCGAGTCGTCGTAGGAGAAATCCTGTTGGAGATAAGCGATGGACCTGAGTCGTACGCAGACGTCCTCAGAACGACGGGGCTTATGCCGGTCAGCTTGTTGTTCCTGACAGTATGGAATGTCACTCTAGGTGCCCCAGGGTGCTCTTTCACTCTGGCTTCCCAAGCACCAGGAAGTAAGTGATAACACTTTTAAACTGGTGCTTATACAACCTTCTAGCGATGCAAAACCATTCCAGGCTTATTCCACTGGGTCTGTAAGTGCATGACATTCTTGAACACATGGCAAGTAAGCCAGAGTCACCTGAGAAACCTACATATATTACAAAACCAAATTTTGCTGATCGTTTTCCCAGCACTAAGAAAAAAAATTGTGATGCGTTTTAGTGTAGCGAGACTCTCAAGTATTCTGATTACAATTCTGGAAACAATTTTCTAACAATTTCCCTATTCGCTCATTTCTCCCTTGAGTTAAAAATATCTAAAATGAAGTCTGTGAATGACCTATACACACACAGCAACACCCCCCTGCAGAAAGGAGTATGCCACACTTTTTTAAAAAGCCACTGGGAGTTCAGTGATTCATCCCTGCCTTTTGGTGGTCCCAACAGATATGTTCGTTGGTATGACGCAAGTAGTTGCATAACTATACCACTTCAGCCAAAGTATTCCTACTGTCTGAGTTAATGTCTTCAAGGCTTTCGACTGAAAATCCAATTTGCTCATAAATCGCAACAAGCTGATAGTTTGTTGTTTGGGTCTAAAGTCTAAAAGATATGTCTTCCCTCCTTTTTTCCCTTTATTGATCTAAATCTCTTGGGAAAAAGCAGCATGATCTCCATTATCTTTTTCAATGACTTACACATCTCCCCAGCCCCTTCAATGATACTGGAAATAATCAATGTGAAATAGCAATAAATTGAGTTTTTTTTCCAAATATGCATCACTTTTGGTATACGAAATATCCAAGGAAATCTGCTAACATGAATGCTATTGTTATAATCATCACAAATCCATCTGTCTGCCATTTTATTTTTATCCTGATTATCCACCTAAATCTCATATTGCAGAGTAATACCCCCAGACTCCTCTTTGCTACTAGAAGTACCTGTGTCAATTTATCAAAGTCATGTCTTGGCATGAAAGATTCACTGAAGGTTATTCAAAGGAGGTGGAGAACCAGGATGGGGCTTCTGTATGTTGACCACATAGATAGCGCTGAAGTACAACCTCATAGGTAGAATCCTGGACATACAGAATGTGTTAAAAGAGACAGATTCCCACATGCACAGCAGAGTGCCTTTTTCCAACAATGCTTAGCTCTTTCAAAACGGATCATGTGACCAGCACCGAGGCGGATACTCTATCACACTGCCAGCATGCATCACACCAAACTGGACATTCCGAGGAGCATCACTGTTGATGTGCCCTTGGCATATGTAACCTAAAATGTTTCAACACTGTTCTTTTTTATATTAACAGTGACGATGCTGCACTGAAGGAACAATGCTGAGGATAATAGGGCTTGCTACATAAATGCTACTCTTAAAACAAAGACTGCTTGACTCCTCTATTCAATACAAAATTAAAGTGGGGGCATTTCATCCCCCAGAGTCAATGCCAAAGACTTACCTTTACACGCTAATTCACAACTAATGTAAAACCTCTGTGAATAGCTGGTAGTGTCTGGATAACTCTAGAATGCTCGCAAACTGCAGACGAGTGGTGTATGCATTTCATTCACATCAATCCCTTACTGTCTTCAGCAAAAACACTTTCAAAACCAGAGATAACATCTAGCATAGATGCCGTGCATCATGCATCAAGTAACAGCTGATCTGTTTTGTCATACCAGTACTTAGGTGTTTCTGGAAGAGCAGGGAAAGATGCAAAGCATGTTCTACTTAGTGACATGCTGGATTTGTTTTACGTTGCAAGGCTACCTACATAAAATCCATGCTGATCTTTCAACACTGTGAAACACAGTTTGGGGAACAAACTGTGTATTGGTTAAAATGAAATGCCATCATAACTATTTATTTATTTTTACTTGCGGTTTCCTTATGCACTCCTTTCAAAACCATTATTTCACCCACATAATGAGTAGGTAGTTATCTGAATGAAAAGCACACAGATTACATTTAAAAGAATGGCAACTGACACAAAAATTTTATGATGGATTTCATCACTTACCAATCTTTGAAATTCACTCATGTATAATTATTTTAACAGAGAAATATGTGTATGGGTACAGAAGAATCTGTGTATTTCAAAGCCAAATCCTTAATAATCCTTCGAACTTTTAAATTAAGCACCAAAATTACATCGACACTCATAGACAGGCAGTTAGAAAGGCTACAAGATTTTCCTCTAGCCAGTTTCATGCAAAATCACAACAAATGATCATATGCGAAGTGACCATGGACGCAAAGTTCAAACTCCGACATTTCACATGTGGTCTGCAAACACTGGGTAAAAACGCAGTCGCCGACCATGTTTTGTTGAAGGAGTCAGGTAAACAACCTTGGGAAGAAGACACAAGCATCCCAAGGTACCATACTAAGTACCATCTCCAGGGAAAACTCTACTCTTGATTATTCAATACTGCTTCTCTGCTCTTCAAATAAACTGTCACTTGTAAAAGATGAGTTCCTCCTGCAATCATTTCAACAGCTAATATGACTTGCATGAAGTACCAAGAGAATAGAAAATTAACTGTTAATACAGATAGAATTCTCAATATTTTATTAACATAACGTAACATTTACAAAAAACTATTTCTCAAAATTTACTTAAAACGAGAAAACAGTTAAATGTCGTCAAACTACTTAAAATGTTGCAAGTAACATGTTTTCTCCCTTATTCAATATTTGCACTGTACAGTAAGATCACACAATAAAAATGCGATTTAGCATCTCTACAAACTGCATATATAAATGCACCCAAGCTTACAAACCCACCAACATGTAGTCCAACCTTCCAAAGATCTTCATTTTCACAATTTTCGTATATTCCAGAAGCATTGGAAAATTAAAATGTAAAGCAAGCTCCAAAATTGTTAAAATAAGCAGCACAACACAGCTCACAAGGAAAAAGATTTATCAGAGCCAATTTTCAGAAAATCGGCATTTCAGTTCTAGCGAGACGCGAGCGGATGCTGGGGACGGCAGGAGCGGACTTTAAGCTCGGAGCGCACGAGCACGAGCCACCTGCCTCTCGCCTTAGAATAACGCAAATTATCATACAGCTGACATTTTATGAGCAATAGAAACGTTGTCGCCGCGCTGACCCTGCCTTTTAACTCTCCCCTGACCGCAAAAATGCTTTCACACGACTGCCAGCCCCGCCGCTGATCCTGTGGTTTACGACACCTCAGCTCCCTCCCCAGTCCGACTGCTGTGCGGGACACGCTATTGGTCTGGGCACTATACGGAAAGTCTCACGTTGGGAATTGCATGGGTCCATCTGGCTACCAGTCACCCCACGCCATTCTTATTTAATCAAGCAGATTTTATTGCCACTGGGAAGGCAGGCGTTTCTCATACCTACAAGACGGTAAATCACGCAACAAGGCAGAAGGATGCACAAATTCCTCAAGGCAGTTTTCGTATTTCCCATATATATAATCGATAACCGTGTATATACCCAGGTATCATTTATATACATATATATATATATATATCCAGCACGGTTATCGATTAAGTCATTCCTCCGATCGTGTCTACTAACAAATCTAACAAAGGTCTTACCTTTAACTTATATTCTTAACAGAAGCATAATCAGATTAGACTGTTAATAATTGTCGGTAGACAGGAAACTGGCTGAGGCTTTATAAGAAAATACAGAATCGGTTTGTTGCGTGAAGTATAAAGCAATTCTCTGTTTACAAGCCCCAACTACAAAAGCTGTCATCCATTTTTAATAAACCCAGGACTTGGATTTGAAAAAGCAACGCACATTAAAAATGGATCAGCGAGTATGAAAATTAGGACATCAAGGGGCAAATGCGCAAGTAAACTGAAATCTTGAGCTGCTTGTTCACGCAATATGCATAGGAACAATATACAAAATGTTCCCGTTTTACACCATGTACGCAAAACACTAAATTAGTTTGAGAGTGAAATAGTTTATTATAATCTGGTCTTATGTATTGACGCCACGTCTCCGTAACCCATGAAAATCTTATAATCTTACAAGTGAAAAGTAAAAGATGTAAAGGCAAGACAACATTTAAACTGTACAAAACACCAAAACGTTTTTCCCACTTACCACCTACAACAAATTATGTGTAAATTATCCGTTTTCTCGGTACCTAAATAAAAAAAATAGTTGAGTAACGCCGTCAATGCAGCATGACAGAACTGTGGTAAAATCCTTGGGGTGCGATCAAATTAGTCGGGGTGAATAAAAAGGCTTTACAGCCAGGCAGATGTCCTCCGAAAGACGTCCAAAGTACTCTTATATCAGTTATAAGAAAGAACTTGGTCCCTTGGGGGGGGGGTGACACAGACAAGGCATTTCTGTACCCTCAAAGACTTGCATTGCAGAAAACAGCTGACATTCTTACACTGTTCACTGTGAAAAGTTACTGCGATGACACAGGAAACATCTGCATCTTTTTCTTACTGAGAGAATAGTGTCTATGAAGGGAGTCAGGAAATTAGACAAGAATGAGTTTCAGTTCTGATAAGTCATTCATCCATTTTATGTAACCACTCGTCTTTCTCAGGGTGGTCACAGAGGAATCTGGAGCCTATGGGCACAACACAGGTAACAACCCAGGACAGGGCATCAATCAGCAAGGCAGACTCACACCTATGCCATGTGGTAACTGCAATTAACCTCAGCATGTTTTTGGACAGTGGTGGAAAATCAAAGTACCTGGAGGAAACCCCACAACGACATGGGGAGAACGTGGAATCTCCACACACATGGAGCCATGGTGGAAACTCGAACCCAGGTCCCAGAGGTGTGAGGCATCAGTGCTCACCCCTACACCACCCATTTTGATATCCTAATCATTAT